GCAAGTGCGGACATGGTTATTCTTAGTATTATTTGATAGTTATTGATGTATGAATTGATAAGTACTTGAAAATAAGGCAACTTTGAGATATTTAATCAACAAAATTCATTGTCTAACAGCTATCAGGCAATATCTCAACAAAATTCATCGTCTAACCGCTATCAGGCGTATACCGACATCAATATTATCTTTTTCCTTTACTGGATGGTTGTGAATCATCCTATATACTATATAGTATGACATCAGATATAATATATGCAGTTTTGTCATAGTCGTCACTGAAAATAATTGAGGGAAATCATGTATATATGATACTCTCAAATATGATGAATATGATGTCTGAAATATGAGGAGCAGGGTGCATGACTTATAATTTATAGCAATTGCGGTGTTCCTTAGTTTGGCATTTTTCTTGTGCTCTTATGAATACAGATCTCATTGTCTGAAATATCTCTTCCGAAAAAAGAAAAAGAATATCTGAAACATACTCATGTGCCTCCAATCAGTTTCTTCAACGTACTGGCAGTTTCACTTATTATATTAGATGGGTTTGGAGAAGTGATCAGTTAAATTCTAAATTCAAATTCGATCTAATCGGAAGTAACTTAGATTATAGATCAATTTTTATTTTGTTTGAAGAGGCACTAATTAATAAACCACAAAATATATGATAAATTAATATAGCAAAAACTAATCAAGAGTATCCAATTAATGTCCTATCGTATACATCATTATATAATTGTTATTCGTATCAAACTCAGACTACTAAAACAAGTTATGATTATTTACATTCACTTAAATTTGCTTTACATAAAAATATATAGATTATGTGATAATTTAATTAATTAATATATATATGAAAATAACTATATCAGTTCTTTTTCGATTTTAAAATCAATCTAATCCAATTAAATTTTTTGACTTTGCAGCTTTCAATTTTTTTTATTTTACTTTTCTTATTTTTGGTTGTGAATTTTAAGTTTGATTTTGTTTTATTTCCATTGGATTGAATTGGTATGATTGTATGAACACCAATACAACACACTTTATTATCTCTAAAATTCAAACACAATTAATTATTATGTATTTTAAATAAACCTATTGTCATACATTCACGGAATTTCCGGACGCTAGTTAATCTATATCATTAATAATGGTCTTTATATTGTGAAAATTTAAAATAAGTGGCGACACCATTTAATAAGCATTAACTTTTGGTGGAACATTATAACATTATTTAGTATTCATTCGTTTTAAAATAAAATGTAGTTTAAATTTCTGCATAATTATAAAAAAAGTAAATACATTTAATTTTAGAAAAATATAATACCATTTAAGTAAATTATCTTTCCACACGATTAATTTTTTATTTCATTTCATTTAGTGAAAATATCAAAAGAAAAGGATAAAATTTAGGGTTCGCTTTTTCTGCGGTCACTGCAGATAACTTATCTGCAGTAAGCTCAATACGACGTTATTTTGGAGCGAAAATCATGGTGTTTTTGTAATTTTAATTATTTTTAGGGTTATTATAGTCTTTATAATTATAATTTTTTAATATTTCAATCTCAAAGCGACGTTATTTTGAGAGTAAATGCAGATAACTTGTTTGCCATAACTGCAGAAATATTTTTTTGTAAAATTTATAAAAAAAATAATTAATACACTTTTCATATTTTAAAGTGACAATAATTTTAAAACCTATAAACCTAGCATCCATTTATCACTCTTAAAACCTATAAAAATACAGTTCAAAACAATTTTCTGGAGGGCTATAAACAAAATACAAAGGAGCTCAATTTAATGGTGAAAAAGCTAAACAAATTGTGAAGACACAATAACCAGCGTAATTACAAAATACAGAGCAACACCTACTGCCAAATCTGATAGGAATAACTATGGTCAAGTAACAAGCACACTGCAAAGAATAAATGTTGCTGGAAATGATAAGAGCAGAACACTTTCACATTATCATTTTATTTATTTGGAGGCACTTGTAATTAATTTTATGAGTTTATGTAAATATTTAAAAAATTAAAAAGAGAATAAATATAATATCTACAGTCATATAGTATTAACACCTAGGAGTGTTCGCGGTCTAGATTGGATCGAGTTTGAAGCAAAAATCATCTGATTCAATCCCTTCGGTTTGATCATTTAATTATCCATTCGGTTAGGATTTTTTTTTAAAATCTAATCCAATTCAATCCAATTTTATTTGGTTTGAATTCAATAGGTTTTCAATTTTTTGAAAAGTCTAAAATTTTAGTCATACAAATCACTAGCTATATCAAAATAAAGTCATTCAAAGTTACAAACTATTGGAAAATTCAAGTCTTCAATCTAAAATAAGTCTTAAAACTTATGAAGAGTTAAAATAGATTAATAGACAATAAAAAACTAAAACAAAATAGTTTGCTATCAATAATATCCAAGATTTCAATTCTACAAAATAACAAAATTTTAAGTCACCATCTTTCAAAAATAATAAATACATAATATATTGTATCAGTTTGGATTAAGTCGATTTTCACCAACCAAACCAACAATCAATTCAATCCAATTAAAATATACGGATTTTTTTTTCGATTATCAATTTTTTAGTTCGGTGATCGCGGTTTGAATTGATTTGGGTGGACACCATCATTAACACCTGAATGGAGGACCTAGTAGTTTTTTTTATGAATGACAATCACTCAAGCTCAGATTGAGAAGATCATTCTACCATTGAACATCAATCTAATGGCCGAAGTTGGAAAGAACTAACTGTATTTATTTATGATTATCCCACATCATCTTTAATTAGGCATGTTCTCCTTACCAACCACACAAAGAAGTGGAGTTATTCAGTTGATGTCTGAATTATGTTTTTGAACCTCGTCATAATTAATACAATAGGTAAACCAAGTTTTGGGGTCCAATTTATTGGATGATTTCTTTCACATTAAAAAATGTTTTATACTTCTAACTAGATATGATAGCAATCCTAAACAATAAATAATGGGGATCCTGCTTTTAAAGTCTATCTCTTCTGCACATTGATATGCATTTTGAACAACCAAACAATTGAGAAATAAAACAAAGGTTTTAACGTTTCTAAGGTGAATATAGATAAATTATCTATATTTACTCCCAAAACGACATCGTTTTGGATTAAAAAATTAAAAAATTATAATGAAAAGACTATTATAATCCTGAAATAAATTATAATTATAAAAATATCTTAATTTTTGCCTCAAAACAATATTGTTTTGAGCTCAATATAGATAAACTATCTACTTTCACTTTAGAAAAAACGAACCTAAAAGAAATTATAAAAATTGAAAACCAGAGAATCATTTAGACCACTCGGTTAGTTGGTGATATTCTATCCACAAAATCAAGAGTATTGATTATGATCTCTAAAATGGAATAAGTAAAAGGTAAGGCTGATCTCAAATCAATTTAAGGCATGCATTGTCCCCTTTTGACGTATCAACCATTCTTTCCTTCACCAACCTTTTGTTCACTTTTTCTTCTTCAGCCATACACATAAATCGACAGTTTTGACTTTTTTCACCAATTTCCCCCAATTAAAAGTGATAATTAGTGACAACAATCTTAGGATACTTACACATGCTCTTAGGATACTTACACATGCTCCTTTTTCTTGAATGATTTGTATCGTCATATATTCTTTTCGTCAAAGTATAAAATAATACACTCCAAAATCATGGCTTGACAAACCCATAGCATGAAGACAACAGAAAGGTTAACACAAAATCCCATGCCCCACCCAAAAAGAAAATCAAAAGCATGGTGCAAAACTGAGGAAAATAAAACACACCCCTCATGATAATGTCTGTGGGGACTTCAATTCCAGCAGCATATGCATCATCTTTCCAGGCAAGAAAAACAAGTCTATCTCACTGTGCATTTTCCTTCAATTATCACTAACTATTCACAAAAAGCAAAAATAACGTCAGGATACAAAACAAACCATATATAAATTATGCTTACTTCATTTTCTTTACCCCTTTTTGCAAATGAGAGTTCTATCATTCAGTGTATAGTACACAAATATTACATTTAAATTTAAATGAAAACAATATTTAAAAGTATTGGAGAGGTTATATTTACTACTAAAATTTTGTACAAACTCTTACTACCAAATTAATCACCGTTAATTTTCGTCAATTTAACGATTATAATTTATTGGATACACTTATTAATTAATTATTAATTCTCAATAAATACAGAAATCAATAATGATTAGTTTAGTTATAAGAGTTGTAAAACTTTTTTTTTATAAATTGTAAAACTTTTTTTAGTAGTAAATATAACCGCATCAAAAGTATTGCATAAATGGATACAAAAAAAATATTGCATGAAACTATTTTTTGTTAAAAAATTTTGTCATTTTAAATTACATAAAATGTTGTCATTTTTAATAAAACTGCATTATTTTGGTATGTTTTTATATTCTCTTTTCTCCATTTTTTGTTTTTAATTTATAAATTAGAAAAATGATAAAACACGTTAAAACGACGTGATTTCATTAAAAATGATATAAAGAATATCATTTAAAATGATAAACATTACACCCCTATTCTTTAACATCTAAATAAATAATGAGTTTTATAAGAGTTATGTTGTAGGAAAATTGATTATGTAATGTTATAGAGATTCGTTTTGCGTGCCGTAATTTTCTTTTTTTCTTCAAAAAGTGTGTGCCCACAAAATGTTGTGTGTAGAAAAGTTTGTTGTGTCATGTTAAATGACAAATGCAAACCCCATAAATAATTTCTTTTGATAAAGGTCTATTATATAATATAAATTGAAAAATGAATTCTAGTAGAAAAAAAAATAAGAGTAAAAAAAAGTCAATCAATCACTTTTTCACAAATATCTTTCTTCAAACTTGTTTTTTTGTTTTTTTTTGTGTTTTGCTCTTTCAACTCTCTATATATAACAGTAAGCTCCTGTGAATATTGTGAATATTCCGGTGTGTATCGCCGGAAAATGGGCGACTCATGGAGAATTGGCACGGGCTTAATGCGGGGTCTCCCCCGCCGGAGATCCGTGGAGGACCGGTCATCTACCCGGCGGTCCATCTTCTCCGGCTCCGGTGAACCTGTTGACGCTGACGACTTCGCTGACGTCTATGGGGGCCCACCCAGAACCCTCCTTGCGCACAAATTCTCGAGCTCCGGTTCGTTCTACGAGGAAATTTTCCGGCCGCCGGAGTTCATATCTCCGGCGCATGAGTGTGGCCGGAATTTACCCGGGTTCAGGATTCCGGCGCGAAACGAGGGGTTTTACAGCGACATCTTCGGGTCGGATGATGACCGGAAATCGAGAGAGAGATCGGGGTCGCTGTCAAAGGCGAATTCCTCATCGGCACTAAGTTCCGAGGAGCTAAGCCCTTGCCGGCCGACGACCGGAGATGACGTGGCACTGTCTGCTTTTACTTCAAAGCTGAGGTACTGTTAACGGTTAAGAAACCCGGCTAGAAAAACCAAACTAAAAGAGCAACTGTTTTTTTTTATTTATTTTTTTGCAAATTGACATTTTTGCCCTTTGTGATTAATTATATTTGTGTATGTATTCCTCTTGCTCTTGATGTTGTTGGTATTTGTCTGAAATTGAACTATTGATTTGATGAAAATTTTGTGTTTATCTCTTGTTAATAAATATTTACAAATTTTGATTTTAAAGTCTATGGAAAAAAAGATAGATACAAAATTTTCGAACAAGCAATTAATACATGAGAGATCCAAAATGGTTTCCATGTCATTGCTGATGTGGTTCAAGGGACTTCCATCATGGCAGTCTTTGTCAGCGCACATGTATACAGCTTTTCTAAGAATCCCTCTCGTTTGGGAGAGAATTTATACCGGAGGTGGTCCAATGTAAATGAGAGGGTAAAATTAGAAAAGAAGAAAAATAGCAGGAATAAAAAGAAAAAGAAAAAATTAGTGTTGTGAAAGAGAGCACTACATCATTAAGTGATCCTGGAACATAATAAATATTTCCCTGTTTTGGAATCGTCAATATATTGAACTATGCAGTCACTTAGGCTAAATTTTTCTGCACATAAATTATGAAAACTAGGTAGCACGACCGCAGCCAGAAGTAGCTGGTTGCCATTAGGGTTGAAATGAGTCGGATTGATTTACAGGGGTCTACGGCTCGGCCTATGTCAGGTTAGATCTGATCTAATATATTTTGTAAAATAGTCCGAGTTTGGACCTTAATAAAGCTTGTTTAATAAGAAGGTCGTAGGCCCACTTTCATAAAATATGGCCTATAAGCCTACAGGCCGGCCTATATTGTACTATTTATTTTAAATAAAATAAAATATAATAAATATGCCTTGAAGAAAAAACAAAAGATATAAATTTAATCAATTACAATTATTTATAACTTAATTATATTCGATTATATGTTAATAGAAATCTGACTTTATTTCTAATATAGGAGGAACCAACATCTCAGCATGTTAAATTGTGTATATGAATATATTAAAAAGTTTTTGGGAGAGATTATACTTACTACAAGCATCATGATGTGTTTGTTGGATTCATGTAGTTATTTTAATTTACAGAGTATGGATTTGTTTGTTGGATCTGATGAAATATATATTATTTAGTTTGAGCATTTTGCTTTTGAAAGTGACTTAAATTCAGATTGCATGAGTTTTGTTGTGATTCTGTTTGGACGTTGAAATTATGATTTTTGGTTTAGCAACAGAATTTGAGTATTTTGTAAAGTTGATTCATGGTTCTGCTTGGAAGTTAAAAATTAACAGGCCAACGGGGTAGGCCAGACCATTTGTTTTTTTTATAAACGGGTCAAGCCAGGCTAACAGTTAGATTCATACTAGGCTTGGATCAGGACAAATTGAAATTTTTTGGCGTAGGCTTGGGCTTTTCGGGGCAAAGTTTGGCCTAGTCCAGCCCACTTTCTCCCTAGTTACCATGAATTTCAAGACATATTGGCTTCTAAAAAACACTATGATGCCAAGTTATTATTGTTGAGATATATAAAATCATTAATGTAGCCTCACTCAATAGCTTAAGCTTTTAGGTTGAATTGGTTCTTTACATGGTATCAGAGCTTAAGTGACCACAAGGTCACGAATTCAATCCTCACCACCCCTACTTTCGAGTGGAATTAAAATAAATACAAGGTAAGACCAAAAATATTGGGCCTGTGCAATATCTACACTTCAAGCCCAAAGGGCTCTTGTGTGAGGGGAAGTGTTAAGAATAATATAAACCATTAAAAATACCTTCACCCAACACCTTAAAGTTTTGGGTTAAAGTGGTTCTTTACATGGTATCAAAGCCTCATGTCCCGGATTCGATCCTCACTGCCCCCACTTTCTGTGGAATTTTCTTAGCACAGGTAAGAGGGCCTGTGCATTGTCCACCCTTACTCTCGTGTGAGGGGACTCTCATGTGAGGGGACTCTCGTGTGACGGGGCGTGTTAGAGAATAATATAAATCATTAAAAAAACCTCACCCAATAGTTAAACTTTTAGATTGAATTGGTTCTTTACAATTATTATACTTACAAACACTATAACTCCTTTCACTTCTTAGTTTATGTTCAAAGCTGAATTTTTTTTTTCCCGTATATTAATGTTTAGGATGACAGTGTTGTTTAAAAGACAATGGGTGATATTAGAAATCATTAAGAGGTTTGAACTCGTGTATAAAAATAGATGAGATTAATAATCACAAAATACAGTGCAATAGTAAAACTAAAAACAAACTCGCAGTATTGGAGAAAAGGAATGAACATAGTATGCAGAATAATGAAATAAATCCGAGCCCACAAAAAGTGTCTCCTTAAGACAATTTGCCTCCTCACTGATGCCAAAGGTTGATGGACATTTGTCTCCCAGGATAGAATGGATTACGTCTGAAGATTAATGGCACTACCAGTCAACAGCCCAAATTAACACAACAAGATGTCAGAGGAGTTACACTGGAAAACGGAAGGAAGCATGCAAAAACTGGATGAAGAAAAAAATCCGGCAGAGTATCAGTGCAGAAAACCGGATGAAATTTTTGAAGGGATCAGAGTCTATATACAAACACTGACCAGTCACGATGAACCACTGCCGGCGGCGAAATCGGTGACCGGGTATAACCGGTGACCGATTCGGTCCAATATGAATGAACGCATCGGTTTGAACCGAAAGGTAAGAACCGGTTTGGTTCAAAATGTTTGGGTTGAAGGGGACTCTCGTGTGACGGGGCGTGTTAGAGAATAATATAAATCATTAAAAAAACCTCACCCAATAGTTAAGCTTTTAGATTGAATTGGTTCTTTACAATTATTATACTTACAAACACTATAACTCCTTTCACTTCTTAGTTTATGTTCAAAGCTGAATTTTTTTTTTCCCGTATATTAATGTTTAGGATGACAGTGTTGTTTAAAAGACAGTGGGTGATATTAGAAATCATTAAGAGGTTTGAACTCGTGTATAAAAACAGATGAGATTAATAATCACAAAATACAGTGCAATAGTAAAACTAAAAACAAACTCGCAGTATTGGAGAAAAGGAATGAACATAGTATGCAGAATAATGAAATAAATCCGAGCCCACAAAAAGTGTCTCCTTAAGACAATTTGCCTCCTCACTGATGTCAAAGGTTGATGGACATTTGTCTCCCAGGATAGAATGGATTACGTCTGAAGATTAATGGCACTACCAGTCAACAGCCCAAATTAATACAACAAGATGCCAGAGGAGTTACACTGGAAAACGGAAGGAAGCATGCAAAAACTGGATGAAGAAAAAAATCCGGCAGAGTATCAGTGCAGAAAACCGGATGAAATTTTTGAAGGGATCAGAGTCTATATACAAACACTGACCAGTCACGATGAACCACTGCCGGCGGCGAAATCGGTGACCGGGTATAACCGGTGACCGATTCGGTCCAATATGAATGAACGCATCGGTTTGAACCGAAAGGTAAGAACCGGTTTGGTTCAAAATGTTTGGGTTGAAGAATCTAGAGGGAAGCAACGGATAGAGACAGAGATATTTTGGATAAGAAATTAATAAAATAATTTAATAAAAATTTATTTTTGTTTCATACACACATACAAACTGAGCTGAGCCAAGCTGACAAGATTGCAATGAACGTGGTGGATCAAAGGCTACTTTGCTCCTCTCCTCTCCTCTCCACAAAAGTGTAGTGCCCCAAGGGGCAATTTAGGAGTGTGATGAAAGAACTTATAAACTCTCTCACCTCTTACTAGTTGTCCAATGTGGGACTTCTTAAAACCCACACACCCTTTCAACTTCTCTCTTTTCTTTTCTTTTCTTCCTTAACGCACTTCTTATTCATAATCCATAGGATATATTTATATATTCCACAGACAGTGACATATTATGTGCTTTTAATTGGACGTGAAGAAGTTTTAGATACTAACATTCATTAGAGTTTATTTAGAAGGCAGAGCTTGATAAGGTTGAAGATTATAGGCAATAATGATGGTTTCCCCAGTATGTTTGAGAGCTATTGATATGAATATGTTAATTACTCTATATACTTAACTTTGGAAAGAAACTAAATTATTTTGAATTTGAAAGTTGATTTTAGTGATCATATTCCATCTCACCCTTTTGGCCTGGGAAATAACAACTGGCATAACCATTCGTGGCAAACATTTCATTGTTATGCTTGCTTTTGTTATCCCATGATGCTTTATTTTTCAACTATACAGGCTTTTCCAGTTTCCACAATAAGGTTAATTCTGTAGAATTCTATTGAAGATTAAAAGAACTTCTGAAACTATTGTAATGCAGTAATGGGAATTCTGAGGATTCTTAGTGATTGCTATTGCTACAGGCCAATCAATATCCCATGGAGATGGAATTCATCCATTATGATGCCTGAGGAACACCCAAGTAAACATGGGGTGCCGCTTTTTCCATGCAATGGTCAGTCTTTTGAAATTCAGTATCAGGATAATGAATACAAGGAGAACTCCAAAAGCTCCCATTCAGGATTCTCAAGAAGAGCCTCTTCCCCAGAAACCATTAGTGTCGAATCCAATTCATATCAAAGCATCAGAGTATTCACTGATGACTGGGAGCTCAATTCCCCATTTTCTGTTGTATCCACGCTTTGTCAAGAACCTGAAGCAAAATTTTCAGTTCATGATCACGTGCTTTCAGAACAAAATATAGAACAAGATGACGACGAAGACGACAATGACGATGATGATGAACTTTTGGGCTCCTATGTCATAGAGGTCAACTCCAATCTTAGAAGGGAAGATTGTGTAGCATCAGCCATTGATGAAGCAATTGCATGGGCCAAAGAGAAGTTTCAATCACTAAACTCTGATGAAGAATCAAGCATGAGAAATGATGGCAATAAGCAAACTGTTGAAATAGAAGGTGATTGTCTTAATAACTATACAGATAAATTGTCTTATACAAAGTTAACACATTTTGGTCCTGAAACAGACACTTCATGTTTGTATCTTATCATATAATGCAGGAAGCCCTGATGCAAGTAAATACCATAAAGATGGAATCGGAATAGTTCAACCTCCGAAGGTAATATATTGTATTGTGTAAGCGTAAATAAGCATCAGCATCATGTTACTGATACAAACCTTAACCAGATTTTTAATGAAAGTAAATGTTTTAAATATGATATTGGGTTGTAAAATTAAAATAAAAAAGGCAATAATGTAATAACAACCAGTCTTTTTTGCAATGATTTCAATTTCAACCATTCCAAGCTTCACCAATCTTTAAAAGATTGATAACACAACTTTCCAATTTGACAAGATCATTTTACTAGTTGATAAAATAACTTGTTCAAGAAAATAAATGGCAGAATATATTCTATACATGATGTCTGGACTGGGGGTATAATCAAAACAATCCATAAATAAATTAAATAACAATAATAAGAAAACTTTGTGATTAGAAATGAGTAAAAATTGAAAAATATGCAATATGCATTCTATCAAAAAATTATGTTTTAATTTCTGAAGCAGTTAAAACTTTCATATCTTGTAAAGACTTTGGTTCATATTAGGATTTTCATTTGTATCTGTTTCCTTTCCCTGAGAATAAATGTTTATATTGATAGCTCTACTTTTTATACAGAAGCTACAGACAGACACTGAGAAGTTGGACAGAGATATAAGATTGTGGTCATCTGGCAAGGAAACTGACATACGGTTACTGCTTTCGACTCTACATCATGTAAGTTTCTCTTTGTTATTGATTTCTTATCACTGACAATTTATGAAATCTTCTGTAGTTTCATACCCTTTGACGTATTCAGATAACTGCAACTAACCTGGTTATATATTTTCATTGCTAGATTCTATGGCCTGACAGTGGCTGGTGTACTATTCCTCTTACAAGTCTTAAAGAAAGCTCACAGTTGAAGAAGGCTTATCAGAAAGCAAGATTATGCCTGCATCCAGACAAACTGCAGCAAAAAGGAGCAACACTCCTACAGAAGTACCTAGCCGGGAAGGCTTTTTCCATGCTTCAGGTATGTAATATATATATATATATATATGAGTTTAGTATTTCTCCTGTGTCATATGAGATAAAATTATTTCCTACAACCTTCCAACGATGTCGTTTTGAGTTATAGGAAATAAATTTATCTCCTATGATATATATATATATATATATATATAATAGTAAAATCATTTTTCTAACCGTTTGACGTTTAGCAGTGACAAATGTATGGTTATGATTCTTCATATTTGATACAATCACCTATATAAATGGTAAATAATTGATTGCTGGATCTCAAGCAGCTGGAGAAATATAAACCCATATATATATATCTATATATATACATATATATATATATATATATATATAGCATGAACTGTTTTTTGAGTCAATAAGGAATGGACTAGGGATCAATGCTGAAATTAAGTTCACATTGGAACAGGATGCGTGGGCAGCATTCATTTCTGAAGAAGTTTCCTTTTAACCAGTGGATGACTTCTTGATAACTCAGTTTTGTGTTGAAAGTCGTGGACAAACACCAAGCTAGACATTTGGAATGACGAAAGTGTTTGTTGACATGCACAGCGTATACACGCTAAATGCATGAAATTTGAAAACATCAGCTCCTTTGTATAAATAGTTACTGATGGATCTACTGTTTCATGTTTGTATCATAAGTTGCTTGATGCTTTATTAGGTATTATTTCTGAAGTAGTTATTAATCAGCTATAGTATTTGATTTGTATATGATGACATGGATGCAAGAATTAGTTTTTACTATTCTTATGGAACCTTATAACCCCTATTGAAACCCCACAATCATTCAACATTCGTGCTCGCCCATTGAAAGATGATTCTCAACACGTTTTACAGAATTGACAATCTCGATGACCATTTACATGTAGAGGGAGAACTTCCAAGAAATGCTTTTCTAACTTCCCACCATGGAATATGGAATCTAGATGATGAAATATCATCAACATGGTCGTCCCCCACGTAAAAGGGCAGCCAAAGAATTGCAAGGGCAACTCACCAACAATTTTATTTGTCTCGATTTAAGGAACCTATACTAAAGAATTCGAAAATGTATTGAATAGAAAAAAATTCTTTTAAGATCCAAACTTCCTTGGGACTGAAAACATTTACATAAATTAACACAAAAAATAATGATACTAGCGGTCATCCACCTCCTTGCTATATCAGCTCCCTAAACTCTTCATCAGTGCTTTTAAGCATCAATGACAAAGCTAAATTGATCCCACTTTGCACAACCTCCAAGTGTCTAGGCTTTATCATACATACTCTCCAAACTAATAGCAAAGTACTTTGAAAATTCTTTCAGCTCCTCCAATTTTCTCTCCATTTCAACCTGGGCTGAATATCTCAAAACTACATATGTAGCTTCATCCTTCGAGAAACTCAAAATCTCCAAATAATTCACCTTAGGAAATAGGGTCTTTTCTACACTTGACACCAACGGTACAGAACCTTGATAAGCCAAGGCTGGTCTATATTGGAGGAAAGCAATCTTAGGCACTTGTTGACAACCTTCCTAAAGCTTTGATCTGGGACTTTGAGGTCTTGTCATAGAAAATTAAACCTGGGTTAAGCTCAGTTTTGATATCAGAGTTGAGAATCTTGGGGCACATGCCAAAGATCCTAGGCAAGTCCTTTAGATGCCTTTGGATTGAAGGAAGGAGATAATGAAATGAATAGATTCCACTGTAGGGGTTCTGGGACAGTGCTTTAACTGCAACAACAGATTCAACACCCATAATCTCAAGGAAGACGATTTTCTCCTTCAATTGAAGTTAGGGTCTTGCATGATTTTGTGAATAAAGTTGGCGGCTTTGGAGCAAGCTTTTGCGTGGATATTTGCTTTTGAAATTTGATCAGTGAAACCATCAGATTTATAAACTCTTCCTAACTTGGCAAAATCAACCAGATAAGTCAATTTAAGAAGCATTCCTTGACAATTATTTTATTAAATGATTTTTATTGATTCTAAGCTCCTTCAATATAATGGCTAAAAACAATTAGGGACCGTATGATGGTTAAAACAGAGAGGATAAGATAGGATAAATTATCATATTTTGCTCTTATTCATTGTTTAGTGAACTAATAGAATATGATAAATTTATCCTATTAGACTTATTTTATCTTATCCGTGACATGATAAGCTATCAAAAGAGAGGGAACCTGTTTAGGAAAGGACATGATAAGATGGGAAATGTTAAATATTACATCCCTCTCATACCAAATACAGCCTTATGCTCTTCTCTTACAAATTTTGTTGGGCACAAGAGGGTCAACCTTGTCATCGACCAATGCCATCAATCATCAGCCACCTTTACTACTCATTTCCACCACCACCATCCATCAACCAGTCACCACTATTGCCACCGCATGACGTACCAGCCACTACCAATCACCACTAGCCACCACCACCACCACCAACCAGTCACCACCATTGCCACCGCATGACGTACCAGCCACTACCAACCATCAAGCACCAACCACCACTAGCCACCACCACTACCATAGATCAACCCCACAATTGCCACAGGTGACACACAGCAGCGTCACCCCCACCTGCCACCATCACACCAACCACCACCATTTTTGTCATCGCCACCACTTTAAGTCATCACCACCATGCACCAGGCACCAACCATTGTTGTCACTATTGTCGCCAGTCAGCCACAACAATTACAACTGGTCATTGTCGTCACCACTACTTCCACCGACCACCAGCATTGTTGTCATTGTCATTGGCCACCCTGACCAACTTAGGCCACCGCTGTCCATAACCACCAAGCACTAATCTTCACCACCACCACTAACCACAATTGTCATCGGTCACCACCAGCCCCAACACCACCACAATTTCCACTAGCCACTACTGCACTAACTACCGCCGCTCCCAACCACCAATCATCAGTGCCACCATTAGCCATCACTGCCACTGCCATCAGTCAGCCACCATTGCGGACGCCATCGCAACCACTTCAACCAGCCAACCCTACCTAATACCCACTCCATTAGCCACCGGCCAATAATATTAATAATCACTTTAAAACTTAATTTTTAAAATTTATTTGGTGAAAATATAATTTGTTTATTTTAAAATTTGTTTATTTATTTATATAATTAATATATTTTATTTAAAAATGTTTTTTTTAGTATTAAAAGTAAGGACTAATGTTTAAATAAGTAAAAATAATAATTCAAAAACTAATTTCAAAAAATTATATGAAATTCTACTAAAATGATATTTTTATCTAGTTATATCATATCATGACACCATGTAATTCGCTTCAAATATCCTATATAATAACCTTTATCCTATCAATTTTTATCATATCTTGTCCACCAAATAAACCTTAGAGTTCTAATGAAATAGGCAAATAAAAAGTTATTAGAATATAAAAATCAACTAATACATTGAACTTGTAATACCCCAGAAAAATAAAATAAAATAATAATAATAATAATGTATATTCTTATGTATATTAGAATTTTTGGGATTAGCATAAAGTGGTGTTATGAGCATGGATATTGATTGTTATTAATTGTTTGGTGATATTGATTATCATTTAATTGATAATTATTTCTTTTATTTAGATTTGTAACCGCTAGATATATCCATGATAATTTGTGAAAAATAATAGTGATAAAATCAAAATAATACTAATAATAATATTTATCTGTATGATATCATAATATTCAATGCATTGGATTAGGATGAGTCATCATCATCGAATTTAGTAGGATGAGTCAATCATGAGTCAACCATATTCTAAGTCATAAAAAAAATTAAAAAGAAAAGGAAACTAACTCTATGAAAGAAAAGGAAAATAATCCTACAAAGAAAAAAGGAAAATAATCATAAGAAGGAAAAAGAAAATAATCTTAAGAAGAACAAAAAAGGAAAATAATTTTAAATCCTACGAAGAAAAAGAAAAATAATCGTATGAAGCTCATATCTGGGCCCAAAATTTCAGCTATAGATAGAGGTCTAACTAAACCAAATCAAATCACTTCCAATCCTGAGCATTTCTCCATTTCTTCTCCTTTTTTATTCTTTCTTCTTATTTCAAATTATTATTATTATTTTCTTTGCTACCAACTGCGCTTCTCTTCCCAAATTGCTTTTCCTTCTAGAAGTTATCAAACACGGAGACCAGGTAATACTAATAGGGTTTAGGATTACCTGATCTCCGTGTTTGATAACTTCTAGAAGTAAAAACAATTTGGGAAAGAAGTGTTGTTAATAGTCAAGGCCTCTATTTATAGTTAAAGTTTTGGATTCAGTTATGGGCTTCATACAATTATTTTCTCTCGTTTTGGGCATAGCGGGCCCCGGCGGGAGGCCTGCATGACGGGCTATTAGCTCAGTGGTAGAGCGCGCCCCTGATAATTGCGTCGTTGTGCCTGGACTGTGAGGGCTCTCAGCCACATGGATAGTTCAATGTGCTCGTCGGCGCCTGACCCTGAGATGTAGATCATCCAAGGCACATTAGCGAGGGGGAGCTAACTCCAAAAACCCGTCCTCAGTTCGGATTGTAGGCTGCAACTCGCCTGCATGAAGCCCAATTATTTTCTTCGTAAGATTTAAAAAAAAAAAAAAAAATCCTTTTTTTCTTCTTAAGATTATTTTGCTTTTCTTTCTTAGACTATTTTCTTTTTCCTTCCTAGAATTATTTTCCTTTTCTTTTTAATTTTCTTATGGCTCAAAATATAACTGACTCATTATTGACTCATTTATAGACTCAAGGCTGACTTATGATTGACTCATTCTACTAAATCCAAAAATGCTGACTCATTATAATCCAATGTATTTAGTATTATGATTATTAATTTTAGTAATTTAATCACTATTAATTTCACAAATTATCATTGATATATACTAACGTTTACAAAATTAAATAAAAGAAATAATTATCAATTAAATGATAATCAATATCACCAACAATTAATAACAATCAATATCCATGCTCGTAACACAATTTTATACTAATCCCAAAAAATTAAGTATATTTAAGAATATACATTATTATATTTCTATTTATTTTATTTTACTTTTCTGAGGTATTACATAACTACTTTATTTTTTTTTTTTTATTACACTAACTACTTTACTTTGAAATGTATTATACTTATAAAATATATATGCCAACTGTTACAATAGATAATTATGAATGACCGATTTATCTTAAATAAATGCTTAATTTTAAATTTGATACCTGATTATTACAGTAAATAAATGTAATAATGAAATCACATTATCCAAATTTTTCAGCAGCGAAAATGCGCACCTTTTTAATTCTAAAAATGAAAAAAATATAATAAAATAAAAACCTAGAGAAATTTCCAATAATCATTTTATGCATTAATTCATACATACTACCAAAGGCCTAAACGCAATTCTATTATAAAAGAAATGGCATTTCCAGTATTTACAATTTAATGTTCAAACTACAAGTCTTTGAAGCAAATAGTTCTGTAAAAAAAAATTGGTCTTCTACATCATTAATTGGTCAAACAGATTAATGCAAGAGATATCAATGTTCCGCCGAACAATTGGTTTCACTTATAGCATTTGAATGTGCAGAGGGAGGAGCATGCCTGCTGCAACCTCACTGAACTCTAACTAGAAACTTTAAAAATATGCCTAGAATACCATTTGTAGTTTCGATAAATATGCCTAGAGTCCTGCAGAAAGTTAGGATACCAAAAATAGTCAACAGAAAGGAGATCAAAGGATAAGTTTGAGTCGAAAAAGTAAGTGCAAATACTTTGTTTATCAATTTTTCAACTATGACATTACCCACTTACAAGGAAATGGAAACACCCAATACTCGAGACAAAATCTCAGAGTTGACCATGACTTCTGCTCATAGAGTGGTTGCGTAGGAGTTTTTGACCAGATGCTTGCTGATCATTCTGCTGGAAGAGATTCAGAGTGAACATGAACACGTAAAAATTATTCGATGGAAGGTGTAAACATTTATGGTTAATTTAATTAAAGAAACATAAACAAGAAATGAAGAAATTTACTCTAAACACGTATGGTCATAGTAGTTTGAGTTTCTATACCAAACAATTTTGAAAAAATTTACTAAGTTTTCACATCAAACGGTGTTGCCCAGAAATCGTGATGTGTGTGAAAAAAGCGAAGAGGAACACTCTGCAAGTTTACCACTTGCAATGTGGTATTTCAATAAAACCGGGTAAATGGGGAAAGGTAACCCAGACTCACAAAATTTAACCTAATTTTTCTGGTAAAATTTCGGCCAACCAAACTATTTTTTTTTTAACTTTCCTACCAAACTCATTTTCCAACCATATTCCTCGTAAATGTATTTACCTGGTAAAAAAAATATATATCCTCTACCAAACGCCCCCTAAGTTTCTGTCAACTACTACTCAATAGATGCTACTCCAATTGTCACCCATAGTTATCAAATGCGGATTGCGGCATGTCGCGGCCAACCTTGAAAAACGCTATAGCGTTATAGCGGGTTGCGGAATAGATATATGACAGAAATAATGACAAAAAGAAATTTTTTAAAGGCAGAGATAGCAGAATAGACAGAGAGAGACGCGGATAGGCTAAAAAACCCTTAAATTTTTTCTGTTACACATTTAAACTTAGGACAAAATTGACATTTTGCCTTATGAGAGCAATATGGCCGCAAATGAGATTGCAATGGCCGCTATTGCGTTCCGATATGGCGCAGCGCGATTTCTTGCAGCGAGACACCGCAACGCCCATACGGCGCGGCTCGCGGCGCTATTACGGCGCAATTAACTACTGTGTTGTCACCCCAATATATACATTTTGTTCCTGATCTAAAGCTTTCAAGAGAGTTACTTTTTGACATGATAGCAGAGCCTCTATGTAAACCTGGCCAAAAGTTCGACCATTCTGATTCTCATTCTTCACAACTAATAACTACTATTTTAGCAAAATCCTTGTGTACTTCCTCAATGACTTTGGATGTATCACAATGTACAGGGGTAAGTCCTTTTCTATTCTTTAGTATCAAAGTCATGTCTTTCTAATACATACCAAATAGAACTTCTAGGAAGCAAAATTTATACCAAATTTAGGTTTAGAGAAACATATTGGTGACCAATTAACCCCAGAATGAGACGCTTACAAACTCTGATTTAAATCTCATAGGTCCTATGTGTATCAGTATTTCTGCTCTAACAAAATACTATTATTTGGAAACAGCTTTACTCAATTAAACTTCTATTAAAATTTTACTATATAACCTATCTGTTATTTTAACATGAAAATAAATGGCCAGGGAGATTTATAGGGATGGTAAAGAAGGAAAAGTTTTAACCAACAATCATTGATTCAAGTGGTCAGGAGCATAAATCCCTTTAACCAAAGGTCTTGAGTTTGAGCCCTGGGAATGAAGAAAATGATCTTCGGAGAGCTGCCCCCTATCATGGGTTCAACAATGCTCGAACCGGACTAATCAAGTAATCAATGAACTGGTGGATATATCCAAAAGAAGGAAAAGATTATGAAGGGAGATGAAGGAAACAAAAGGAGATATTTAAGGAGGAAACAGACACCTTATTCCTTGGTTGGGAGGAAGACTTTGGCATGAAAAGGGAGAGGAGTTGTACATTAGAAGTCCGAGATTTTATAATTTTTAAATAGAAAAACGTTTCCCTTGTTTCTACTCCATTATGGAGAGGATTAGGTCCTACCCTCTAGAATGTGAATAAGTAACTCCTCCAAATTAGGGAAAACGAATCAAACAAGTCATTAGATGTCTTGTCCCTTGACTTCCCCTTGGTTACTTAAAACACTGTATGATTCTTTTTGTCCTTTCAAGAAAACAACAAAAATGGAAATTGCATAGTTCAATCTTTAAATGATATCCAATCACGGGAACAAGAGCAAAAGCAGGTGAGCAAAGAGAAGGAGTGAGGGGTGAAAAGTGAATGAAAGCCATAGTAAAATGGAATTGATGTGCTTTGGTTTGCAAAAAGTTGGGGGAGAAAACCAGCTTTAAATAAATAAAAGCAAAATAAAATGGAGTCAGCCTCTCAATAGTTTACTGAGACTTGTGAGAAATCCAGATAAATCTCGAGGCTAGACACATTGAAATAACTTATTTACAAGTTGATCAACACTAGGAGTGCCATCTAAAATAATGAATATTTATCATCAACGCTGCAAGTAAATTTTGTGCTGTCTTCATCCCCAAAAAGGTTTCAAACAACCATCAGCTTCCCCCGGCAAATAAAACAAAAGGGAAATGCATTAAAATGACTGATGCATTTTCATCCTCCAATAGTATGCAATAATCACAGCTTACACAGCATATATGATTTGCTATCTAGAATTTTTCTTTCCCACTTTAGCAGGTTTCAAAGTGATAGATATCTTCAGGACATGTAAAGGTTAGAGAAAACAGAAGAGGAATATAATCACCAAGATTGATGGTAAATGAAACCTCAGTTTGTCACCCAATGCAATCTGATAAGGGTGCAGGTTCACATCCACGAAACAAATTGGACATATGCAACGTGTGTAAAAGAAATGATGTATTGGTTTGCTTACATTGTATCAATTAAAAAGCAGTTTGTAGATTGCACAAGAAAATCAAACTTCCAATTAAATACACTGAAATAAATTCATAGCTGTCTGCTCATGTCATGACTCAGTTTATTATTCAACTAAACAAAATTACAATTAGAAGGGCTGAAAAATAAAGAAAACAAAAGACAAGTGAGACAGACAAACCTTGTACAAAGATGCAGCAGACTCAGACTGAACTGTTGGAATTGCATTGTGCCCTAGGGATCGCAAAGCATCCAAAGCATCTAAAGTCAGCTGCCAACCACAAAGTGCAATTGCATCGCTGCTAGTGCTTGGAAGAGAACTAGCACAGCCAGCAGCAGCAACATTACCGTTTACCCAAGGGCAATATTGGTTGTGATAAACAATAGGATCAAATTCTACAGCTTCTTCATAATTACTTTCTCCTTTTGGAGGGCCTAAATAATTGAACAATGTCAGCGGAAAATATGTACCAACTGATTGATGAAGTGCTGCTGGACCTTGGAAGTTAGAAAGAATTATAATATCCATTTTCAATATGATGTTTGATGGAAAACAGCTATGGACATCCGAGTATATATAATATGTCATTCAAGGGGATTGATTGATTCTAGAACATTTTCTAAAGATCTTAAAAAGATATTCTATGACATTCTGACAGGAAGAAAGAACACTTTTTTGTCTTGTCATTGATCAAAGTGAAATTTCTTTAACCCAAATTCCCAACATAGAACCCCTTTCATTTTACCCAATATATATAAATGAGATTTCAAATTAGGAAGAGATATAAGGTTTTATCATTTTCACACCATTAATAAAGATAAAATTCCCTTTGAACAATTTCCTACAATGTGATTCTCAATTTGAACTTGGTGAGAAAAGTCACTTATGTCAAAAATCAGCACCCCACTTTCATGTAGGGGTGTCAAAACAGGTTATGACACGTGGGTCGACCCGCAACATAACACGAAAATTCGTGTTCAGGTTGATACACAAAAAAAATTCGCGTTGAGAAAAATGACCTGCAAAAAATTCGTGTCGTGTTGCGTGTCAAATTCGTGTCGACCCATATTTTTTTAATTATATTTATTACTATTTTATTATTATTATTTAACTTTTTTAAATTTCGACCCTTTTTTTTGTCAATTACCGTTTTGACCCCTATTGTGTGTTATTCATGTCGTATTGTGTCAACTCACACCCCTACTTTCATGATACCATTTCAACGACAACAACAAAAGCCTTTTCCCACTAGGTGGTGGAGCCAGCTACATGGCTCAAAAGAATCAATTGTCTTCTGTCATGAAAAGTATTCAAAAGTACATTTAGATCTAAGTCCTTTTTAATTGTCTCACTCACCTATAGTTTTTCTTGGTCCCCCTCACATCGAACTACTCTCCATCCAATCTGCCCTTCTGGCTTCTATAGGTCTTCTCACATGGCCAAGCCATTTAAGGCAAGAGACTACCATCTTTTCCTCAATAGGTTCCTACCCTAACTTTCTCTATGATGCATTCTTTCCTAATCGTCTAGTATGTCCACTACTGCAATGTCTTCATCTTTACCACCTAAAGGTGTAACTATAAATGGGAAACTGAAGTCAACTGTTATGAAAATTGTTAAGTCAGCTTGAACTTGGAGGTTGCTCTTCCTCAACCCAGAGCCTTTCAATGAAAGGCTTATAAGTTTCCTTTGTAATTCATACTGGTCTTTCTTCAAGTCGTCTTTACATTCTAGATTTTACCTTCTTAAGCACTAACATGCAGGGTACATAAATAAACCAAAATAAACCACTCCCATTAAACCCGATTAGCGAGGTTTTTCCTTGGATTCAAAGACATTTTAATACAAAGGAACAATTTTAGCACTGTTCCAGCCTCGCCCTCTACTAACATGCAGGGCAACAAGCAAAAAAGCTCAAGATCATTAAAATACAGAGCTTACCTATCCCATTGGCAATGGCAAAATCTGATTCAAAGGGAGCGCAATTGTTGGTGAATGATGATTTACCATCCTTCATGATCCCTTCCTTAGTATTTTCACAACCAGAATACATATTCGCATTCAAAGAACGAGATGGCCGACGACTGTTAGCAGGTGGAAGATTGCAGTTTTGACCAATCTTTTCCCCACTTTCAACAGATTCTGCCTTCGTAGAACAGCCAATTTTAGACCCACTGTCTGTCCTTCCAGCAGAATGAGACATCATCTCCTGGCTATCACCAACCGGATCTTCTCTGTTTATATCATCGGGGATAATCTCATCCATTAGACCTGGATCCGGAACAGATTCACCAGTCTGTCCCTGATTTTCAGCATCTTCTACTCTGAGTTCCATTTCACCAACAACACTATCAGCTCTGTGTTCAGATATATCTGCCCCATGGATTTCAGCTTCATGACTAGCACACATTCCAACACTCCCTCCACTAATGCCAAAACTAATTCCATCTCGAGCCTGAGCAGTCACAGTTTCTGCATTGAAAAGTTCTTCCCCATAGTTTGTACTACTGACACCCACTTCACCAGGGACAACTTCAGTAGCTGTTTGTAAACAAGTGCTTTGCTGAGCTTGATTGCTGTTATTCAGTTCAGATGTTTCATTCATGTCCACATTACCATAGGTGCTAGAGGAGGGGAAATGAACATCATCAAGGTCTCCTGGGTAGTTTTCAACACTTTCCATAGAATCATCATTCACACTATGGCATAATGTGTCCATTGCTATGACAGATGATGCACGAGTTGAATCCCTAGCTGATTGGATTCCTATAATGCGGTCACTCCCTTGATGGAATGAAGAAACTCGATTACCAGCAGCATAAGCCTCAAAGCCCATTGAATGGCTAGGACCAGCACCAGATGAATCTCTGTGATGGGCTGAACAATATGTGTCAAAAATATCAGAGTCACGAGCACGTTTTGACGGACCAGCTGAATATTGTCCTCCATCTGTAACTTCATCACCATCACGATCAATGACAGTTCCTTCAACACTATCAGCCTGCTGCTGCAATCTAAGAATTGGCCTGTCATCTGAGCTTCCACCTAGTTCAAGATTTCTCTTACGAGAGCTTGGTCCTCGTGATTCATGTGAAGCTGCACGATCACCAATCTCACTCCCTGAAGGCTGACCGATCATTAAATCCCTTCCCATATCCTCATCATGAGTGTTTTCAGACGTTGCTGTCCTGCCCAAAGGAGTAAAAGGAAAACCCCCAGCCATAGTAAGATTTAAATCTAAATCTGTGTTCGCCAACAATTTCCCTTCATTTGTTGCAACTTCATCACGGTCTTCAGTCTGATCTTTCTCTGTATCGTCAGCTGCGATCCAACCACTGATTCCACTAGCTGCACTCACTCCACGAGTCAACCCTATCTTTTTACTAGTATCAGGAATATCTATACTGTTAGGAGTAAAACGAGTAGGACGAGGAACAGTCAAAAAATCGGAAATTCTAACTGTAGCACCACATAAGCTACAATCAAGCAAAGGCAACCTACAGTCAAGTTTAGACTCCATAAGAGCTGCCTTTGCCTTTCTGGCATCCATTTTAGTAGAAGCAGAAACTGCTTTTTGCCCTGGATCTTGAGTAAGATGGTGTTGAGTCTTGCTAGGGCCGAAAGAATATCCATTTCTTTCAGATTGAGCAGAGTGTTCCTCACAATCTTGAATATTTAAAAGCCATCTTGGTTCCCATCCACAAAGGCTTATAAGCTTCTGTGCCTGCCAAAAAGAAGATACATGAATAGAAAATAAGCATATAACAGAATAGCAACATAAGTTTCAAATATATAGCTACAAATAAAATGAAAAATGTACATATCTTACCCGAGAAAATATGCGGTATGCTTCATCTTGAGAGCTTTCAAGCTCTGATATAATCTCTGGTTTAACTACTTCTCCTGACATAAAATTCTGAGATTGTGACAGAAAGCGCTCAATCTGTGGGCCCCGAGAAACACGCATCAACTCAATTGCAGAGACTGCTACAACAGGAAGATAGTGAAATTGTACGAGTCCATCACATCTATCCTTGTAGCCCCCAACTAAGGCAGATTGAGGAGTTGGAGGGAATTGCACAAGGCTTTCAGGGCAGCTGTTTCCTTTCCAAGGACAATTAACTTTATGCCCTGAATCCAGCTGCCTGGCAAAGGATTCGCTGGCATTTTGAGCTTCGGCCATTACAATAAGAAAATAAGTTAAAAACAAATCGTGAATATAATCAGCAACAACAGAGAATTTCCTTTAGCCTAGTTATCATATAAAGTTTGCTTGACAAACAAGTTCGAAGTAAGATTACATCTGTCTAACTGTTTTGAGATAAAATATATAAAAAGATTCTCAAATGATTTGAACTGAATCAGAGTTGCTTAGTTGTTTAGAGTACTGACTTATCTTCTATGAACAACTTATATGTTGCCCACCTTCTTTAATTTCTTATTAAGTACTTGGAACAAAGTGCTACAACTATTTTTATACTTAATGCTAACTGCAATCAAAACAACTCTCAACCAACTAAAACTACGAAATCTGATACTCACTGATGGGACAGTCCCCACATTAATCTATAGAACTTTTTAGAACATATAGAAGATATCATATAATATTATGATTATATTCAAATAATTTAGAAAATCCTAGATGACTTCTTAGGATTAGTTTCCATATTTCCTTTATATTACATTATTTGTTTCCTTATTTTAGGAGTATACTCTTAAATATAAATAGGATTACTGCCTTGAAGTTTGTATCACATCGTTCACAACAAAATCAAAATAATTTTGTTATTTGGTGTATTCGTTTTTCTCCCTCTATACCTAAATCTCTATAGTTTCAACATAGTATAAGAGCAGGACCATCCTCAATGACTTGTCCCAATATTTTTTATGGTGCTAAGTTCCTTAAAACCCAAAGCTCTTCATTTTCATGATTATTTCATTCCTTAAGATTAACTATCCCTCTAGTTGTGATATCCTTTCGGCCACCGTCCCTCCTCAATCTGTCATTGTCCAGATCCCAGAAACCCATCTTTGTCAGTCACACCGACAACTTTTTGGTCTCCATTGTCATGTCTTCTTCATTCCTACAACTAACACCACATTTTCTGGCCACAAACCATATTTTTCAGCTGTCATCGGTTGTCAAAGTCACGAACTCAACACAAATTAGTTTGACTAAGTGATTCCATGTGAAACTGAGGCGTCATCGTCATTCATCGTTGAAAGTCCCTCTAGGAGAGGTGGTCACTAACAAATTGAGGGTCAGAGAGCTGAGAAAGGGACATATTAGGTAGGCTGTTTGTTAGTAGAGGTTTGGGAACCGGGAAAGACATGTGCCTCTCCAAAGCAGTGGAAGTATTTTTTTTCTTATTTCTATAGTTTTGTAATTCTTCTCATATGCATGCCTCTGAAATTGTTACAATATCAGGGAGCAGAATACAATTGTATCCATATGTTTGTCTAGTTTCTGCAATTTTTGTTCTGATACCTATCAATTGGCATCAAAGCTCTCAATATATGAGCTATAGCATCGGGGCAAAAAATGATTCCAGAATTTGACAGTAAAGAAGGCTATTGGTGGCTGATCAACGTTGAACAATATTTACAAAAACAAGGAACACAATAAGCAAAGAAGGTTTAGAAGCAATAAGGGGACAAAAAGGATGTACTAGGATTGGTTATGATATATGGAGTTATCTTCATCCTAACGCAACAAGCATTTTCAACCAGAGATGAATTTGGAGTTATACCTTTGTAAGGAGGAAGAAGAACCAAAGATTTTTAAAATGAAAATTTATATGACGAAGTCTACACCGAAGAAGACAAAGACCTTCCATATTAATACGTAAAATGATAAGGAGTTGGAAGAGAAAAAATGATCTAACCAATGTGCGAACCAAAAGAAACTCTATAATAAATAAATAAAAAGAGAGAGTTGTGTATAAATGACCCGACTCTAATAACAGGTGTACAACGCCAATGACATTCTTGCCACCAATGGAAGTAACCAACACAACTCCAACACCCAAGCCACCCGACTACCCTCCTTTCTCTACCCAATCAAATTCAATAGCTCTGTTAGAATATTAGATATGATATGATTAGATTTGATTAGATATGATTGGATTCTGTCTTATCCGTAAATAGTCTGACTGTATTCTGACTGTATTAGGATTAGATTTGGATTAGGTTTGGGCCTTACACTTAAGCCCATTAGGGTCTCTATATATTGTAACTCCCTGACACAGATCAATACATAACGTATTCTTTTACATTTAACTTGGTACCAGAGCTATTTCGTTCTGGGAACCCTCGCTTCCGCTTAGAAATCTTGTTCTTCGCTTTAAAACCTAAGCCCACTGCTTAGGAGTCATCTTTTCTTTGCCGTGCGTCCTTCCGGTAAGATATCAAAGGCTGTAAGTCCTCTCCAGGCATCTTCTGCACGTGTCCACAGTCACCGGAGCACCATCAGCCACCGTCAGCCACTGTTCAGGCTGCCGGAGTACTTTTCCGGCGAGTTTTTAGTCTGGAACGAACGCGAACAGAACCCTCTCCTCCCGGCGACCTGCTCTGTGCAAGTCCGGCCACCATCGGAGTTGTCACGCGCTCTCACGCGCCTCCAGTCTTCTCTGCGCGTGGGCTTCACGCGCCACCTTCTGCCGGCGCGTGAGCACTATTCCGGCGGCTTTTTCCGGCCGGTCTTGGACAGAGAAGCTCGTCTTCTCCTCCTCTTTCTGGATCTGTGGTTGGTTCTTTGTGGGTCTGACTTTTTGTGCGCACCTCTTCTTGATTGGTGATCAGGTTCGTTTCTCTTTATTCGGTTTGTATCTTTGTGATTTGATATGGCAGCAAACCCTCCAATTCATTCGGAGGTCAAGTCTTCATCTCCTCCTTTGAGAAATTCTCCCAATATCATCTTTACCAATATTGGGTCCATTACCTCTTCAAAATTGAAGGGATCTGTTAATTACAATAACTGGGCCACCTCTGTTCGAGTTTGGTTCTTTGGACAAGGATATGGGAACCATCTCACAACTAAGTCTACTGATGTCCCTAAGGAGGACAAGTCTGATTGGGAAAAGATTGACAACCAACTTCTGAGTATCCTCTGGCAATCCATTGATCCGATTGTCTTGGATATCTTTTATTCATTTCAAACTTGCACTGAAGTGTGGGAGGAAGCAAAAAACCTCTACACTAATGATGTTCAGCAGCTCTATTTCATCATCTCTCAGTTTATGGAATTGAGCAAATCATCCGACATTCAGATGGAGACATATATTGGCAAGAGTCGCTCTTTGATGCAGGCATATTTGGATATGCTGCCTTACCCTACTGATGCTACTGCATATCGGAAACAGGTGGAACGTCTCTTTATGGTTGCCACACTTTCTGGCCTTCCCGAAGAATATGATAATGTTCGTGATACTATCTTGACTAGTGGGGAGCCTGATCTATCCATGACGTATCAGCGTCTTCTGAATTTGAATAAGAAATCTGCTCCTGCATCGTCTTCTGCTGTTGATTCTAGTGCTCTAGTTTCCCGTACTGATTTTCGCGGGCATATTGGAGGTGGACGTGGTCGTGGTAGAGGCCCAGGAGGCCCAGGAGGACGTAGCCCAGGAGGTCGTGGCCCAGGAGGTCCAGTCGGACGTGGTCAGCGACCTCGTTGTCATTACTGTCAGCAACTTGGTCATTATGAGGAACGCTGCTACACCAAGTATCCTCACATGCGACCTTCTTTTGCTGCTAATGTAGCTCAATCGGATACTGCTTCAAATGGTTCAGTCTCTCTCTCCTCTGAAGAATATGCAGCATTCCAGGCCCTTCTCAGGAAGTCCTCTCCTCAATCTCAGGCCTCTGCTTCAGAAACTGGTAATCCTGTTGCTTGTGTTTCTCATTCTGCATCACTTGGTCCTTGGATATTTGACTCAGGTGCTACTGATCACCTCTGTGGTAATAAGGAACTCTTTTCTTCCCTTACATATTCTAATAATTTACCCTCTTTTACTCTTGCTGATGGAACTAAGGCCCCCGTTCATGGGATTGGACAAATCTGTCCAACCTCCTCATTGACCTTGACATCTGTCTATTACATTCCTCACATCCCTTATAATTTAATATCGGTTAGTAAATTGATCAATTCTCTTAATTGTATTGTCACATTCTCAAACCATTCTGTTTCTGTGCAGGACCCGAGTACGGGGAAGATGATTGGAGTGGGCCGTGAGTCACGGGGTCTGTTCTACCTTGATGTGCTGAGTCCTTCAGTTGCTTGTTCTCTCACAGAATCTCCACAGCTCATCCACAGTCGTCTCGGGCATCCTAGTCTTGCGAAATTGCAGAAGATGGTTCCTCTTTTATCCGGTCTTCAAACTTTAGATTGTCAGTCATGTCAGCAAGGAAAGCACATACGCTCCTCCTTTGCTAATCGAGTCAATAAACGAGCTGATGCTCCTTTTTCAATTATTCATTCAGATGTTTGGGGTCCTAGTCGTAGTGTGTCTATTTTAGGTTTTCAGTATTTTGTCACCTTTATTGATGATTTCTCCCGTTGTACTTGGATTTATTTAATGAAAAACCGTTCTGAGTTGTTTTCTATTTATCAAAAGTTTTCTGCTGAAATTCATACTCAATTTGGTGCTTCTATTCGTATTTTACGTAGTGATAATGCTAAGGAGTATGTTTCTGTTGACTTTTCTCACTTCTTAGCCACACAGGGTACTTTACACCAAACCACTTGTCCTCACTCCACAACAAAATGGAGTAGCTGAACGTAAGAATAGACATCTCATTGAGATTGCCAGGACTCTTCTTATTCACATGCATGTTCCTCTTCACTTCTGGGCTGATGCAGTCCTTGCTTCTTGCTTTCTCATCAACCGCATGCCTTCATCTGTGCTTAATAATGATATTCCTCATAACTTACTGTTTCCAGATGTTCCTCTCTTTCCTCTATCCCCACATGTTTTTGGTTGTACCTGTTTTGTTCATGATCTCACTCCTGGTAAGGATAAGTTAACATCCAAAGCCTTTAAATGCATTTTTCTTGGTTATTCTCGTCTTCAAAAGGGTTATCGCTGTTACTCTCCTGACCTCAAGCGTTACTTAGTTTCCGCGGATGTCACCTTTTTTTATCAACAACCCTTTAATTCTATCCCATCTCCATTGTC